CACGACGCATCTCATGGACATAGCTACAATGGCATGGAACCTGAAGCATCACTGATACAGAAGGATTTGGGCATTCCAATCCCTCAAGACTTAAAATCCTATGCCAACTGAGGCAAAAACCCACTTCTCGGGAACTTGGCGCCGGTAAAACTTAGGCGAGTTTTCGGACGCTTTGATCTCAGATGCTTTCACAAATTTTCAAAAGCTTTATACGGCCTCATCTAGGGTTCAGGAACACGGCCTTCACCTCTTATCTCCAGAAGGAGAAATGAAGCCTAGATTGCATCCAGAGGCACTCAACAAAGTCTGTTCGAGAATTTGGGCCTGAAACATACGAATAAGAGACCTGTTTGGGCGCATTTTTATTCCGAATGTAACAGCATTCCTACGGTCATGAACGAGATGTTGGCTGGTATGTAATGCTGGCAGTTCAATCGATGACAAATCCTTTCCAACTAGGCTTATCTTGTTGATGAAACAATTGTGTTTGTTGCCATCAAGGGCCCGAAAGTTTCACGTAACAACAAAATTTGTTTTGACCAATTGATTATTATTAGATCAAGGATGGTGCATTTGATATATTCTGTTCCGGCGAATGTTAACATTTGTCCGACTATGTACCGTAACCGACAGTTTTTTTACAGTTGAATATCTTTTTGTCACACCATGGTTTCCGAGTGCCATGGCGCTGTCGAATAGCATGTTGCTCCATATAATGTCACTGTTTGGTCACAATGTTACCCTGCATTGCGTGTATATAAGAATTACCCTATACTTTATTTGGTTGACTGTGTGCACCCTTATATGTCGATGTGACTTTGTCTAACTTTCAAGATTCGAACACGTGTGCTGCGTTGGAAAGAACGCACGAACAGTATGCCAGGGAGAAGTGGGGCCCATTTTGAAGGAAAGTGGCATAGATTTGGTCAGGGTTTCTGTCTAAGGTCAACGCCCTTCGTTCGATGTTCCAGATAAGCACTCGTGTATTTGGCTGTCGATAGTGGCATTTCAGCAAGACACCCATAACAATGAAGTCGATGACACGATGGTTTGTGAACGGTGAACAGGAAAAATACCTGCTACCTGAGCATCACTGCCGGCCATCTCACTGAAACCGTACAGTATTAGAATTGCAAAATTAAGCAGCGTAGCGATAGTGGCTTTCCGAACCCCATGTAAGTAGTAATAATCCATGGTTGTTACCAGCTTCTGTCATCTCCCTAGGTCCTAGCGCAAGGGATTCTCATTTCCTTCAACCGTTTGTAGGTAGATTCGCAGCTGTTTCCCCGGCACCCTGATCACCAATGCTATTTTAATCATCTCAGTTAGCTCCAGATCCGGTTGTGTTCCAATTCGTGCTGCTTCTAACATCTTGGAACTGATGGCGAGGGTGATACCATTGTGCGTTTTAAGCAAGCTGCTGGTTACAGCTCACCAACCTCGATCGGTTGCTCAGTCTGCCTTCTTCACAGCCTCCTGAAAGGCTACAGCTACGGGTGAACTCCAGTTTCCGTGATAGCAGTCGGGAAGACAATTCAGCACTATTCCGTGGATATCGAAGCTTGGTGACAGTGTCACTCTCGTTCATTGGGTGAAGGATAGCAAAGTAATCTATCAAGAATTCCTAGCGTTTGTTAAATTTGTACGGGCTTAGATGGCTTGGTTATCCCTCTATTGAGCTTCCGATTACATGTCGATGGATGGTTCAAGTTCCCGGGCAAAAATAAGACATCGAGCCCACGTAAAATCTTCGGTCCTACCGTATTTGTGGTTTGTGTTATTGGCGTTCGAAAGGTTGGAGCTTTCTGAAGTTGGGATACGTCTGTGGCCTAGTCTTCGAGAACATCTAACATCCATAACATATGACGGTACGCAGTTAGTCTGGAAATGCTACCCCCACTAAGAACCTTGCGGTCGTAGTCTTAGCAGAATGTCGCATTGATTCGCCCAGGGATTCGAATTCTTTACACTGCGCTTGATGAGCAGTGGGAGAAAAATGAGGCTAAGGGTCGATCAAACGTTCTTTCTAGGAACACTGTTGTTGTTGCCCAGCGTAGTGTTTGCAACGGAGGGTTCTTGATCTGGGAATGGGGAGAAGACTCATGCCATGGCAACACCGAAAAGATCAACACTGACCACGCCATTCCATTTCCACAGCTAATCGATTTCACTGAGCAAACCCAAGGCATCTGGATCGATGAAGCTAATGCTACCCATCTCAGACACTTTCAGTGACATTTGGGTGGCACGCGGTGTGTTATGTGGAAGATAAAAGGAACGGGACAGGTGCTCTGCAATGTCCGGTCCCCAAGTGGACAAAGCTCCTCCCCATCCCCGTTCTTTGATGGTGGACAGTCTCGCGAAGAAACAACCGGTTTTCGCTCGTTTTCCTTTCTTTGGGGGAGCTTACTTTGCGATCTGAACATGCAGCAGCCACATCCTCTAGTGAAAATAGGTGGGGATTGAGATTGTCCTCCATGAGGATACATGTGATTTATGTAGTAACTTACTCATACCTGCAAAAATGCTGTATGCCTGTATAGTCAGGAACAAGTGTTATTATTATCTCACTGGATGTGAACTGCGGGTGGCGGGCCATGTCATCTGGCCTCAGAAACTTCCGATTTAACAGCTGCAAGAAAGACAGGAAGGGACAACCAATTGATTCAACTGTGTCTTGAGCCTTCATTTCACGCGTGAAAGAGCTCGAGGGAATGCACCTTCAAGGTTCACAGGCCACTTCAGGACTTTCCACCCTTCACCACCTCGATAGGAGTTTGCAGAGTCCATTAGTTTCAGAACGAATCAGGTTATCGCTTTCTGAATCCCAAGTAGGCTTCTCTATCCTCAACTATGAGCCACATTGGCTCAAAGTATTTAGCATCTAGGATATCTGGTCGATATCTTATAGTCTATCCAACATCGAGTGGGCATGACGTTGGCAACAAGGGCTGTCTCATTCCATCTAGCCACTCATGTCCTTAAGTCTGCATGGAATCTGAGGGAAATTCGTTAAGTTCATCAAGATTACATCGTCGATAAGATCAGTTGTGTGGTTTTCAGGTTTGAGATGATGCTTAGTAAGCTGGCAGACATAAACATTCTTCGTATGATCGATGTTCATGGAATTATAGAAATCAATCATTTCTTCAACGCACGTTGAAATCACTTGTGAATACTTACCATTGCCAAGATACTGTCCTTGGTGAGCATAATTCAGTTTTGTCAGGCGTCTGCTTGGATTACGTAGGCTTTGATTTCTCAGATCAACGGATATCGTAGGACTGACGAATGTCATGTTTACATTTGCAATGAACTTCTAAGTGAGAACTCCACAGGTTCAGTTCGCTGATGGACTCAAGGACAGTGGATACGAAGGACAGGCTCAAGCGTATCGTTTCATCAGATAGACTCTCCGTATGAACAAATCAAACGGCATTCATGGGTCTCCGTTTAGGATGATTGACGGTGAGCTGAGTCTTCTCACTGCCACGTGAATTCCTCAGCCCTCTGGTCGCCAGCTTTCCTCCGACTACCGTGAGAGAGCTGACCATATGTAGAAGATCGTCATCAGCTTTGTGACCTCCATAGGCTATAGAAAGGCCTGTAACAAGATTTGCTGAAGACGATATGGTGTAAATAAATGAAACACGTACACGTCTCGGGGTGCCAGCTATCACAGTATGGGAGTATTCACTGAAATCCCGAAAGACCATTATCATATGTACACTCCTTCGATCGAACACTATTAAAGAAAAGTGGCCTGCATACAAAATTTCAAGCTGACTTTACGAGCCAGGTGTAAACGTGACATGACCACTCACATCTAGACAGAGAGCTCTCAGGTCACAATTAGGGGCCTAAGTTGAGACCAACCTTCAACGGGAAAAAACAGAAGCGACTTCAGGTAAAAAAGTACAAACGCTTTCATAAGAAGGAGAGTTTTAGTGTTGGACGTCCTGTAAGGAAAATGTAATTTCTTTTATTCGATGCCTTTGAGAAGAGACTGCACACCCACTCCAGTTAGAGTGGCTGTACTTTGGGAGTTCACCATTCTTTTTTAATTAACGGACAGCTTTCATAGAACGCCTATGGACAAGTAATATTTCTTCCTCAAGAACACTTAGGATCATAGCGTACACAGAGAATACTTTCACAATACTACAGATTTACAGTGTAAAGTGAAACGTGGTAGCTGCTTTTGTGAGGCCAAGTTTGAGGAATGGGGATGGTTCAAATACCCTCCACTTCTTAAATAATCACACGTCCCACTACAAATTGAACCAATTTCCAATTGCGTGGCTGGGTTTCATGTGCTGAACTTTGAGGAGTCAGTTGAAAAACACAAATGCAACCGACTGTTTTTCATCGAACCCGCTTTACTGTTTTCGGAAACTGAGTTTTAAAGATACAGTTATGTCACCTCGCATGGCCTACTACGGACGTGCTCAGGGAGTCACCAACCTCACTAGCCCACCCACACCTCCCTCCTACTCACCACTCACTATCTCGCTCCTTCATACACCCACATCACCTACTAATTCTTTTCCAGGGGAAAGGCCTGCGCTATCTATTTTTGTCACTCAGGCAACCCCCACCTACTTTTCTCTCGTATTTTTGTTTCTCTTTTTCACCCCCTCCTTTTCTTCTTTCTTTCTTTTCCTCTTTCTCTTCCTTTCTCATCCTTTTTCCCCTTCATTATTTTCGTTCCTCGCCACCAGCCCAATATTCTCCTCCAGGAACCTAAACAGACAGCAGTCACGACAGTCCCCTAACCTTTCCAGCAACTCGTAGCTCCCCAATCACTCTACAAATCACAACTTACTAACCCACAAAACATCCACCTCACCGAGGCTGGAAGCAGGGAACAGAAGGGAGTTCTTCGTCCAGTGGAGGAGTGAACCAAACATCTCGAACCAAGCCCTAAGAACTAGACACGAGAGATCAAAACTATCAGTTTTCTATGCTCGCACCATCAACATTGGATATTGGTTTCAAGGTCACTGAGGGTGCAAGTACGAACTATCCTAGTGTTGTCGTGAATTTTTTTCACACCAGTGGTGAAGTATGCGTGAAATAGATTCAGATGGTGAGGAAAACAGCATCAAATGCCTCTGGTTTGTTTGAAATTATAAATTTCATTGAATATAATCTAGGTCCAGTCTTCTTGATGAAGTTACTAATAAAGCAACTACTGGTCTACCCTCCTCAAAAACCCTAGTTGTGTTCGGTGACGATAAGTGCGGAAAATCAACCTTGATCTCACGACTTCGGGGTTCTGAAGACATTCAAGAGGGATTTGGAATTGAATATTTTCTTATCGAAGTTAAAGATGAGGCACGAGATGCTACCACGAATTTAAGTGTTTGCATTTTGGACGGTAATCCTATTCAGAGTTACCTTCTCCAATATGTTATTACCGAGGATTCATTCTGCGACCAAACTGCCATTATTGTTGTTAGCATCAGTGAACCATGGAAGGTTATAGAAAGCTTAGAAATGTGGGCAGATGTACTCAAAAATCATATAAATAAACTGAAACTTCCAAAAGATAAGTTAAAGATGTACAAGTCAAAAGGTGAGTTAAATCAGCACTTGATTCGGTTATTTGGTGTGTACTTTGCTATTGAGTGGCTTCTGAATGTTGTAAAGGGTTTGTAAAGATTTGAGACGACTGTCAAGTAGCGTTAATTGTTATTGAAAGATTATTTATTATGTGTGATATAATCGCACTTTAGTTACATCTGAAAGGAGGGCTGAGGCGAGAGGTTTTAAGGTAATCAGGCTAGTTTCCACTCACCTATGTAAATAATCATATCTAGTAGTCTAAGCTGTTTAAACAGTGCGACTATCATACATTTATGCCTAGTAATATATGAAAAATAGATTTATTTGCTGTTCCTCAGTCCTACAACAAGTGTCAGAGTTTCTTGCACAATTCTTCAGTTCACTAAGATATGCTTCATACGGATTTGGTGAAGCAAACGGCTACAAATTACTAATTTTCAGCCCAATTTAAGAAGACAGTTTCAGTAGACCAAAATATTATCTCATTGAGACTATTATAAGTGAACTAGGAGTTTGATGCAAATGACTTCCGATATCCACTGTTCTGACCGGAAGTGAGTGGGCAAGATGCTTCTCTAAAACTTTACGCTTTCCGTAAAGAGAAATTAGATATAATCTGGGAAGAAAATGGACCGCTGCTTCTAACATACGATTACCACATAGGCTTAAGGATCGCAGATCCTGGAATCTTAGACTGGAATAAAACTGACTTCTTGTCTTTACCTGAAGTATACGATAATTTATTGATGATGTTTCCCTGATTTCGAGGACCTAACTTCTTATAATCTTCTTATTTTGATAGAGCATGTTTAGTCATACTCATCTATGAGCTTAAACATCAGAAATTGATAATGCATAGTGAGGTTACTGCGAAACTCATTGTAGTCAGCATGCAGGGCAGCATCAGTTATTTGGTGTGTACATTTGTGTGTGTGTCAAGAAGGCTCTAGTGTCTCCAAATCATTTGGGTCATAAAAAAGGAAGTCCTCTTCATTTGTGAGCTATCTTGGCGAGTACGACTTCACTTCATTGGTAACTAAAGGTCCTAACTGACATTCACTAGTCATCAGGGCTGTTGAGAAGCTACAAACATCGCGTTTGCTCCACATTAAGGTTGGCTCAGCATCAAATGTCCTCGCAACACAAGCTTCTGTCACAAGGCATTGGTACATATTATGTACAGTGATTGAGATGAATAACTTACAGTGTTTACACCGTATTCTGATGCGCATTAGAAAACCACACCGCTTCCCTCGATAAGCAAGTTTTCGGCATGATTGTTTTACGTATAGTAACTGAAGTACGTTATTTTTTTCAAACTACACCACTTAGAAAATTAAAATTACCCTAGAAAACTAGTGAAAGTTCGACGAAGCTCTCATGAAATGTGTAAGCGCCCTTTAGGTTTTATAAAAAAATATCGTACCAGTGGTTTTCGGTGGGGAGGCATAATAGACAGTACTATCAATATACAGACGTATTTTCAATTGCTCACAAGGCATGTCCTTGGACTTTTAGTGATTACTTTGTGAGTTTCAAAGGTAGTTGTTGAATAATTATATCGAAAGAGCCCACATACTTCTGTTCGCCATGGGTTAACTTGGCTTGTTTTTACTGAACACAAGCAGATAGCTTATAAGATCTGAAGGAACCCTAATTCTGATGAACATCATTGAATAAATCCTACCGTCAACAGTATGTCCAGCTCTAATAGCCTTGTCTTTGTGTTTGATAACTTGACAGTGAAACAAAGAAGAACTACAAGCACAAAGTGCTGAAAAGTATTCATTCTTCCTAACCATTTAATTATGATGCAAAACTAGAACTTAGAAGGCTTAAGAAAGACACACTGCCCCAAAAATATGTGAAACAGTCAGGGATATTCAGAAGTAACTCAAGCTCACTATTTGTATTGTTGTTTTCTTTTAATTCTTGATCTTTGTAATTTCTGTTCAGTAGTTGCTCTACATCTTCACTTACTCAAAACCGAACATACTCACTTCTTTGAGGCATGCTCTGACTCACAGAACACCAATTGGCTCCACTAGGTGTTCGATTTTTGTAAAACTGGCCCACTAAACTACACTAGCAGTATATATTTTGTTTAACAGGCTTCCCCGTTGACTACACTCTACTTGCCTCTAAACCACTAGTTATTTCATGTACGGAAAAGATAACACTGGCAACTGCTTGAAAAAGTCAACGGTCTTAGGCTGTAATTTGAACTGCGGCTGACATAAGTTAGTGAAAATATTGGGAATGGCAAAGTATGTGTGTAGAGGTGGTAAAACATAAATGAGGAGGAGCAAAATACTCATGAACTCTAAAAAAATGAATTACTACATTTACACCACTTTGATAGGTCTCCAACCCCTGGCTTCCAAAATCTAAAGGACTCTGACGGCAAAACACATATATTTCTCCACTAACTAGTTCTGCTCTTTAAACTGATCATCCTTAGATTTTACCCAACCCAATTTCATGGTGAGAATCACAGAATACAACACATTTTGGAAAGGATAATAGAAAGCGCAAGTCTTTTGGACGAATTCGGCAAAAGTTTTGATGGGTTATTGATGCATTTTGTATCTGCTAAATACAGAATGTGTTACAGCACCATTATCCCCCAACAACTTGCTTGTGAACAACGTATAACGGCTTGAGAGAGTCGGTGGCATAGCAGTTTTGAGATGAAGTGTCTACTAGGCAACCCAGTCTAGTCCACATTTACACAGTTATCATTACTGCAATTTCGTCCAGAGACTGAATACGGCTACAACTCTCTGATTAGACTACGAACAGTAGAATGTGTTTGAAATGCTATCCTGCAAATAATAGCATTCTCTTCCATTGTAAATCAAATTAAAGAAACAGTGCACAGTTTCACCTCATATATTGATGATAATTTAGCAGAATTCTTTCTACTCAACAGCAATTCTAACTACTAACAGAGGTTTGTTCAGCTTCTTTTTGGATTTTCAACCGGTATGGATGTGAGCGACTCATAAGTAGAAACTATTCAGGATTGTTTTTTCCCATGGAATACCACAGTAGCTCATCATTTACTACCCAACGGGAAACTTAGTGTTATCTACTATTTGTTTCCACAGATGTAAATATTATCACTGAGTTATAGTGTAATGGACACTTAATCGAGAAAGTCTCTTTTCACTCATATCATTTTCTAGTGCTATGCATAAGCACTTTACTGCAGTTAGTGTGCATGTTATCTGGTGAAGAACATCAATATTTGTGAACTAATTTTTATTCGTAGTTATTTGTCAGAAATCTAATATTTTAATGAAAATTTACGTAAGGAATTTCAAAATATTCGACAACGTAAGTGTGAGTTGAAATGAAGAATTGGAGAGTTTGAAGTGATTCGAGTAGGTAGTTGACGTTGAGGAAGGAATGAGATATTAGTAATATAATCCGCTTTTTGGCACATTGACTAATTTCTTATTCCCTTTCATTTCAAATTACATTGTTAAGTGTTGTAATATTTCCATTCCTGTATTATTTTCCTGCAACCTGATTAAAAAATATTGACATTCTTTACCAATAAATGTGTACACCAAGTATAGTTAGACGCTCTTGTACAGCTTCAGAGAGTAACATCGGCGGAAAGAAGTTTGTTCTTTGAAGCTTTTATTCTTTCATTTGTATCGAAATTTACTAGCAGCGCGCGAAAATGATGAGAAATGAGACGTTTCACTCTGGTTCAGCAATAGCTTTATGGGAACTCCATCTTTAGTAAGTAAACTGTATAAGCTCCTTGTCAGATTTGAATGTGGCCTCTCTTAGTCATGTTATGTCATGAAATATTGAATAGAGTTTCTGAGTGAACCTGCAACATCTACCTTTTATAAAAATTCTTACAGTCATTTAGTATCATGGATACTCTGAAAAATAAATAGTTTGTCAGAATTTTTACTTATCACTTTTATTAATAGTTAGTGTTCTAAGAGTAATTTATTTAACAAGCCGATGAAGAAAACCAAACTCCAAACGTTTACCGAACTCTTGTGAAGTCAAATTGCTTAGAGATGCAATCATACATCGGTTAGAACGTTAGACATCGTTCAAGTCATGGTTCGCAATGATAACATACTGAGTGGAGTGTAATGAAAGGGGTAAGTTCGTCTTATAAACTCAGGAATTTATTGATTAAAAAGTTGGAAATAGTGTGGGTTGTTCGTTATGCCTGTTTTGATTCGAGGAATCAACATTGGGCAGTTATTCGAAACTGACGAGAAGCGATTGCATGTTTGAATCTTTTGAATGCACTAAAACAATATGTGTATTGAGTTCGATTGAAATGTAACACTCTAAAGTTAATTTCATCGTTCCCGCATTCTTTGGTGCACAGCTGATAGACAACGCATAGATTTTATCTTAGGTATTCATTACCAGTAGTTATTTTCGGTTAGCATTAATTTCGTTTCTTGATTATGAGAACTTCTTAGCATAACAGAAAAATACTCGCTGTTTGTGTCATGAAG